AGATACTATTTTAAGTGTGTGGATATAGCGGTGAATAATTCCTGTATTCTAGAGATTACATTTTATACTCCTTATGATCATCTTGAAGTTTGAAGAGATTGTTCTGGTTGCCTTATTGGAGCAAGGGTGGAATATCAACAGTGAGGGTTGTTTTCTATAAATGCTATATCAGTTTACATTCATTGTAGTAGTTCTGTGAGAAATTATTTTGGTGTGAACTAGAAAAATAGTGGAGATATTGATAAGTACTGAGATTCTGGATCATGTGAAGGGTATATTAGGTTTAAATAAATTAATGAAGTGAACAGATCTTTAAGAGGGTTTAGAATAGTACCTGCCACATTGTTATATTAGAATTTGTTAACATAAAAGCGGAGCTTGTCTTAAAGGGTTTTCTGAAGGATTGCATGTAAGTTGGGAGGGGCAAAACAAAAAAAAATTAAAAACAATTTCAAGAGTTCTTTCTGAGCAACTGGAAGTTTGGTAGTGGAAAATCAAGAGTTTGACACTGGACTTGTTAACTTTGAGGTTCTTTTTAGATATACATGTAACTATGTTAATAATCAGATAATTAAGTCTGGCAATCTCTGATGGCCAAGACAAATATAAATTATATTTTTTATGTAGAATACATTTAAAGTAATAGAATCAGATTAATTGGAGGTTAAAAAGTTAGAGAAGAGCTCTCATTTCTAGGGAATTCCTACATATAGAAGTTGGTACAATGAAGAGGAGCCAACCTAACAGACTAAGAAAGAATATGGTAGAAAGAGAACAAAGAAATAATTCAAATGAAGAGACTATTTCAAGAAGGAAGGGGTGAATTTGGCATAATGATGGCAGCAGTGGAGGCCAACAAGTATTTGAATCTTCATAGATTTTCTTATAAAATTAGTATAAGTAAGATTAATAAATATAATGATAATAAGTATAAATAAGTTAAAAATTTTCAACACAAAACGGATGATGTATGTATGTATTGTGAAATGATTGCCTATTAAGTTGCCATCACTTCACATATTTATCAGTGTGTGTGTGCGTGTGTGTGTGATGAGCCTATGTAAGATCAACTCTTTTAAAACATTTCAAGTACACAATATGGCATCATTAATCAAATCATGAACATTTGATCTCTAGAACTTACTCACTTCAGAACTGAAAGTGTGTACCTTTTGACCAACATGGTCTCATTTTTTTCATCCCACAATCCCTGGCAACTACTATCCTACTCTCTGTGTAATTTTCTTTTTATAGGATTACATACATACATCAGATCATACAGTATTACAGTATTTGTTTTTCTTTATCTGGTTTACTTTAATTAGCACATTGCCTTTAAGTTTCATCCATGTTGTTGTAAATTATGTCAGGATTATCTTCATCTTTATGGCTGAATTTTATACACACACACACACACCGTGCATTTTATATATTCATTCGTCAGCGGGCACTTTGATTGTATTTATGTCGCTACTGTGAACCATGCTGCAGTGAGTGTGGGATTGAGGATATCTCTTTGAGACATTGATTTCTTTCTTCTGATATACATCTAGAAGTGGGATTGTTGTATCATATGTTTTAATTTTTTGGAGAAATTTCTTACTGTTTTCTATAAATGCTCTATCAGTTTACATTCCCACCAACAGTGTACAAGCGCCTCCTTTCCTCCATGTCTTTGCCCAAACTATTTATACCCCCCTTTTTTTGATAATAGGCAACTTAGTAGGTGTGAGACACATCACTGAGGTTTTAGTTTTCATTTTCCTGATGATTAGTAATGTTGATGTGATATACCTGTTTGCCTAATGTATGTCTTCTTTGAAGAAATGTCTTCAAATGCTTTGCTTGTTTTTAAATCGAGTTTTTCTTTTTGTTGTTGTTTTTTGCTATTTGGTTATGTGTGTGTATATTTTGTAATAATATCAAATATATAATTTGAAAATATTTTCTCCCATTCATAGGTTGTTTTTTCATTTGTCCTTCAATTGCCAGAGGGTGCATGTTCTCACCAGAGAGAGAGTGAAGGAAAAAGCACCCCTGATGGGGCGTCATCAAACTGCAGTCTTCTTTCCCCCATTTCCTTATCCTAGGATTTTGGGTATGCATACACACATGCCTGGTGTGTTTTTCACGCCCAGGGAGCTGGGATTTGAACAACAGTTAGCCATGTGGATCTGGCTACTTAAACCACTAAACCATAAGGCCAATTCTATCTTTTCATTTTACAAATTGTTTCCTGTTTAGTTTGATGTAGTCTTGTTTCTTTTTGCATTTTTTCCTGTGATTTTGGGAAAGATGCTTTTAAAAAAATCATTGTAATTCAATGTCAAGGGGCTTTTTTTCCTATAGAAACTTTTTTCTAGGAGGTCTGTGATTTCAGGCATTATATTTAAGTCTTTAATCTACTGAAAGTTAATTTTCTGAATGGTATAACATAGGTGTCCAATCTTATTATGTTGCATGTGGAGATCCAGTTTTCCCATCATTTATTAAAAATACTGTCCTTTCCCAAATGTGTATTCATTTATTTATTTCTTCCAAGAGAGAAAGAGAGGCAGGCATCCTGGCAAGGACTTGATACTACAATCCATATTTAACTTCAGCCTGTCAGTATTATGGGCATATGCTTGCATACTTGGAGTAAGTTTTATTAGCCAGATAATTGTATGTTCCTCCTGTGTTATCTAGTTTTAACTAAAATGTATTTTACTAAAATGGGCAAGTGACATAAAAAAGAATGGTACAGCAACTATAGGGGCCTTGGTATGTGAGTGTGGAACCTTCCTGTGTGACTCTCGCATTGTGGAGTTGCATTACCTCTGCACTGCTGCAGCTGGCCTTCAATGTGTATTCTGGTATCCTTGTCAAGTATTAGTAGACAATATATATGCTAGTTTATTTCTGGGCTTTCTATTAAGTTTCATGGTATATGTGTCTGTTTTTATTCTTACACTATCCTGTTTTGATTACTATAGATTTGTAATGTATTATTGTTTAAAATCAGAGAATGTGATGCCTCAACAAGGTAAGGTTATTTGAAAAAAAACACAGCTTACATATTACTGATGTAAGCTAACAGTGTTTTCATTAACATCAGGAAAAAGACAAGGATGTCCAGCCTTGCTACTACTATTTAACATTGTACTGGAAATTCTAACAATAACACCAGGCAAGAAAAATAACAAAAGCTATCTTGAATTAGAAATGAAGAAATAAAATTATCCCTGTTTGCAGTAACTTATTTGCTGTTCTTTATTGGAGGAATAGATTTAGTAAAATTTGATACAGGAGAGTGTGTGTGTGTGTGTGTGTGTGTGTGTAATCAACCATTACAAAGAGTGAAATCTTGAAGGTAATATAGAGAGGCTTGGAAGACATTATGTTAAGTGAAATAAACTAGACAAAAAGAAAATAATATATTCTTACTCTTATGTGGAAACTAAAATAGTTAATCTTTGATAAAGAGGAAAACAGTGGTTACTAGAGAGGCAGGGAAGGGTAAGGGGAGAGGGAGAAATTGGTAGATGTTTGTTTAACTGACACAAAATTTAAACTTGATAGACGGAGCAAGTTACAGTGTTTTGCAGCATAGTATAGTAACTACAGTTAACAATAACTCATTTATAAATATTTCAAAATAGGCATAAAAAGAAAAGTTTGAATGTTCCCAGTGGAAAGCAATGATAGCTGTTTGAGATGATGGAACTCAACTAGATTTCAGATATTTGAACTAATGTCTGAATCACCCAGGGGACTATTTCTTTTGTTTTCTGTAGGATGTTAACATTTACCATAGTTTATCTCCTTTCATAGGTAGGTAGAGTTGAGGGGTAATCACCTTTATCTAGCGTTTTTCAAGTTTGAGATATATTAGGAACATTGGAGTAAGTAAAAAAAGTATAGATGCTAAGACTTCCTGCAGTAACGCAAGTAATTCGGTCTCTTACTACAAATCAAGAGTTGCAAAAAGCCCCAAGGACAACCATCATTGCTTTGTGTTATCTCACCTCTCAGTGTGGTTTTCCTTTCTTAGTTGTTTCCCTTTAATTCCTCATTGCCTCAGTGCTCCCCAGTGCTTGCTATGTTCTTCATTTGTTAGAGCATGTGCATGGATATGAGAATAGAGCAAGAGAGATGAGCACCCTTTACAAGCTCTGGACATCAGATCTTGCATATGAGGGTCTTCAGTCTAAACTGATTTGGGGATTTGAACTGTTGTTTCCTTATAGGATCTTATTTCTCTTAACAGCACATTACTGCTGTACCATGGAATCCATTTTCAGTGCTTTTAAGCAGAACTTAAAAAGAATAAAAACAAGGACCAGCAGTTAGCGTAATGGCTTTGTCACTGGTCTCCCACGTAGTCGACTGTGGTTCGCGTCCTAGACCCGGTGGCTTAAAACTCACGCCGGGCGCGTGTGCATGCGTGCCCAAGATCCCGAGAGCAGAATGGAGGAGAAGGGATTGCGGTGTGGCCATTCCCCCCTGGGGGGTGATTTCTCCCTTTCTGTCTCTCTGTCTCTGTCTGGCGAGTGCACATGCCCTACAGCAAAAACCTCTCAAAAAGAAAAAAAAGAATAAAAACAAAGTTTTCAGTTGCAACGTTGGTGTGCCATAAACTACTCAATCATTACTAGACACAAAAGTCAATGGCATTGGGAACCAGCAGTTAGCGTAATGGCTATGTCGCTGGACTCCCACGTAGTCGACCGTGGTTTGCTTCCTGGACCTGGTGGCTTAAAACACGCCAGACGCGTGTGCGTGTGTGCCCAAGATCCCGAGAGGAGAATGGAGGAGAAGGGATTATGGCGTGACCATCCCCCCTGGGGGGTGATTTTTTCTGTCTCTATGTCTCTGTCTGGGGAGGGCATGCGCCCTATAGCAAAAATCTCTCCAAAAAAAAAAAAATAGTACTACTAAAAAAAAAATATCAATGGCATTATTATTTTGAAACCAAAACAAAACTACAAATGATGGTTTTAATGTCTTCTTTCTTTCAGGAAAAACATAAACAAGAATTGGAAGACATGAGAAAAGCTGGTCATGAAGCCCTCAGCATTATTGTGGATGAATATAAGGTAGAGGTTTGAGTCTGTTGTTTGTACTTTTAAACCTTATTTAGTATTAGTAAAAATTTTACACATATTGAAAAACAGTACATTTCTGCAATTGAGAAGCAAGCACATAAGTGTGAGGAGTTGCTAAATGCGCAGCACTAGAGGCTCGTAGAAATGCTAGATACCGAGAAGGAACTGTTAAAAGAAAAAATAGCTCTTCCCTGGCGCGCGGGGCTCGGAGCCGAGACAGTTGTCACTGGTCACCGGGCTCCTGGCACTGGGCGCAGGCGAGGCAGGGCTGCGCTGGGTCCCCTCCCCTCTCCCTCTCCTGGTGGGGTCGACCCACTCAGCCTAGGCCGCCTGCTCCCTACCTCCAGCGGCCGGGCCTGGGGTGCACCGGCTGTGGAATGGGCCAGTTCAGGACAAGGTCAGGACACCAGTTGGCG